CCGGGCCGTCTCCTGTACCCTGCCTGCGCTCCCGGGCCGTCCCCTTTCCCACGTCGGCCGCCTGAGGTCTCCTGTAGTATATCTCCAAGCAGGATTTTTTTAGAAAGCGTTCAGCAATGGCGGCTCTAATATTTCTCTCAGTACAGGATTCCTTTATTGCATCAAAGTGTGTTTTTGTGATGAAAGATCCATTAGCGATGCTGGGACCGGGGATGAAAGCAGTAATAGGTTTCCTTTCTTTTCAGTGCAATCATGCAGCTTTTCATCAATGGCCAGTCGCTGCACACCTTGGATGTGGCCGACCAGGACACGGTGCTGGATGTTAAGGTATGCAAGTGTTCATATTGAAAGGCCATCTCTGGGCTAAATGTATGTTTCATTATACAGTCCCCGGGCATTGCTATAAAAGAAACCCCTTTAGACCCCATTCACACTGAGCGATTTGTGGCGCAATTTCAGCTACAAAATCGCTCAAACATCAGATTAATGTCGCTCAATCTAGCTTGTCCAATGCATTTCAATGGCGCTGTTCACATCTCACAGCTCAATGTCGCCTGTAGATCGTCGCTCAAGCTTGTAGCTCGAACATGGCCTATTTTCTGGCGGATTTTGTGCGATTTGGTCCAATAGACTTTAATGGTGCAGCTCAATGTCGCGCTACAGAAGTGTCACTTTTGCACAGAAATATAAGAAGGAAGGAATTATGTAATTTTTGATTGGTTACAGCCCAATGTAGCAGCTACGAAGTCCCTGTGACTAAATGTGCACTGTAGCTCAGCTCAAAATCGCGCTTTTTTGGATGTAGCTCAGTGTGAATGGGGTCTAAATCTAGTGATCCACCGCAGTACCTCTTGTTGGCCACAAGGTGTCCTTTGCCTCTCTCGGTTGAATGATACCCAGGGGAGCTGGATACCTTTCTCTGGATCAATAACTCAGGAAGTATTGGAGTTGGTCCACCCCAGCCCTCCGCGCCTCTGGTGTTCCTTGTTTACTTTTTTGGTGTATGTTACAAGTCACATTTCCCGAAGACATTTCCAGTGACCACATTGTAGTGTGATGCGGTTTTACTGCGTTACACCATGCTGCTCTAAAAAAAGTACTACATGCAGTACTTTTCATAGCATACCACTGCGATGTGGTGGTATAAACAAGACAAACTGCCTCGTGTTTGTGTTGGTCCAACTTGGCCCAATGTAAGTATACATAATTTACTAGGGATGTACTAATATAGTTTTTTTGGTATCGAGTGCGAGTACTGATATTTTTTTTTTTTCGCTACTCACCGATACCGGAAGTCCCATTAAGGAAGCAAGACGGCGTGTAAAGACTCGCCACCCGGTTTCACGTTATATGCAGGGAAGCCGGCTCCATGCTCCCTCATCACCAGGTGACGAGAAAGCATGGAGCCGGCTTTCTGTCCAATCAGAAAGCCTGGGGCGTGTAATGACTCGCCGTCCGGCTTCCTGTTGGTCAGCTTCCCGACCAATCAGGAAGCCGGGCAGTGAGTTATTACATGCTGCCTGGCTTCCTGATTGGCCGGGAAGCCGGCTCCCTGCTTCCTGATCACAAGGGAGCAGGGAGCTGGCTTCCTGATACCGGAAGCTCATGTATCGGGCTAGGCATCTGAGCATTAGTACGAGTACTCACCCAAATACTCGGCTTCGGCACCAATAATGATACTAATATTGGTATCAGTGCATCCTATAATTTACATACTTAAAACACTAAAGTAGTCAACACTACTACAGTGCTTTATGGCAATCTTCCAGGTCCTGGTACTGCCTCTGTGCTGAGCGGCTTCCCTTTTGCAGCGAAGGCAGAGGGTCACTTGCTTGGCGCAGCAGCCATTCATTAAACGCCTACTATGGTTATCAATGCATGCTGGATGTTCTCTGATTGGAGGAGGTGCAGATTGTGAGGTCACCACCTCATCTCCAATCAGAGAATGGCGAGTGTTCATTGATAAAAATACCAGGCACTTGCTGAATGCCCCCTGTGCCGAGCGAGCCCCACTGTTCTTTCAAAGCAGACGGGCAGCCACACAGCGCACAACTTTCTCTGGGTCTGACCTGTCTGCTTTTTCACTGTTGGTCCTCTGCTGAAGGTGGGTCTAGTGTGAATCCTGCAATGGAACACTACTGTGATATTTCGCAATGGCCAATCACATGCAAAATATTGTTTCCTCTGTTAACAGATGCAGTCCTATGATGTCCTATTTCTGTCATTTACAGGCTCGTGTAGCTCAACTTGAAGGTCTCTTGGATTGTGACCTGGTGCTGTCCTATGCAGGAGCGGCACTGGAGGATGACGCGGTTTTGTCACAGAGCGGTGTCGGTGACCAGTGCACCCTGGACCTTACAGGCAGACTTCTGGGAGGTGTGTATTTCAGCTGGACTGTGTTTATTTACAGGTACCCTAAAATTGCTCTGAAATCGCTCATGTGATGTCAGCCAAGCTAAAGGTTTTAGGAATTAGGAAGAATAGTGCACCAAGATAAGTAAAGCTGCCTGAATACCTTTAGTTACTGGCCCTGAACAAAGATGCAGATCAGAAATTGGGTTTAGATGCAGGTTAGAGGTTTCTCATCTTTAGAGACCTTAGAGTCTGTTTTGAGTCAGGTAAAGTCTTTCCGGTAGACTTGTATTGAAATAAAGAGGCTTTTTGGTATTTTAATTATAAATATGTACCCTCCCAAACGGGAGTATCCCTTTAAACCCAATACGGCCATTTAATGACTTTCGTAGATAGATGCTGTGTAGTGTGTACATTGACCTCTCCCAATTCATTTCCATATGTTTGACTGTCTCACAGGTAAGGTCCATGGGTCACTTGCTCGTGCTGGAAAAGTGAAAGGCCAGACGCCTAAGGTATGTGATTTCAGTTCATAGTTCTCATTCCCAATTCTCTATACATGCTTAGCCAGGGGTTTAAAGAAGAAATGTTAATAACCCTTGGAATGGGGCTACCTCAGCACTGCAAGGGTTAATAACATTTATGCCCAGAGTTCTTCTTTAACGTTCGTACATAATTAGAAATGTGCAAACCTTCTTGTGAAAGAAGTCTATTGGGCCTCCTAGGTCTTGTAGTCTTTACTTCATCTAAATAGAATGTTATCTTTAAGATGACAGTTGTGCCCTATGAACTGCCTGACTTATTGCTGATAACACGCACCACCTTCTGACCATGCATTACAGTGTGGAATACCAAAGTCCCATAGATAAGAGGGAGGTAAACAATTCTAAAACTGTGCTATTTGATGCTGATATGCACACTCAGGACGTGGGAGTGGCTAGAGATTATCTGCATTTGATTGACGGGGTAACAACTAGTAGATCCAATGGCTGTTCAGCTCCACAGTTGTCCTCAGACAAAGTAATGTCAGAGGAGGGCTGTACCTTTTCGGTATAAGTTGTCCTTTAAAGTGTATATCGGTGCAAAAAAAATATTCAGCGATAAATACACATTTCCCCATGTCTTATGCATTTAAAGACCCTGCAAAAGGTGTAAGACATGGCCAGTTTGTTTTTTGCTAAACTACTGCATACCGCCCAGTATCCTCATTTCCGCAGCATAGGGATTACATTGTTTTGTAGTCCCAAGATAAGAACTCGTAGGGTTTCTTGCAAGAGGCAGCTCTGAATTTCTGACCAACAGGATTTATTTTTCACTTCTCAAGTTGATATAAGAAAACTCGTTCAATTGTATGTTTAACAGGCCCAAAGTGGCCCTGCACAGAGCAGCCTTCCTCCTGAGAGCATTCCCGAAGGGTCATTGTCAGCTGGTGAATTCAAACAGAAGCCCCAATCATTCCTGTTAGGAGAATCATACCCTGAAGGACCATTGGACACAGTTATTAGGAATGAATGGGGCTGTAGCTTGCATGCGTACAATGAAGAAGACTGTAGGGACTGAAGACAGGCTGTACAGCACCAGGCAGGGCCGCACATTGAGGATCAATGAAATAGGGACAGGTATTGTATTAGGTGACCTGCTTTCAGTGGGGTGGGAGGGCAAATTGAAGCAAAGGTACAGTTGTCCTTTACACAGTTTGCATTAAGCCTGCACAACAGTTTTTTTAAATTTTTTGCATAAATCCAATCCTAACGGGTCATCCTTATTTTACAATGGCAATTGCATTGGCAAAAATAGTTGTAGTCAATGACAGATTTGTTGTCTGGTGAACAAGAAAGCATCAGAAGTTCTTGCTACACTTTCCTTTCACATTTCTATATAAAAGTATAGAGCAATGGATACATTAAGAGCAGGCATGCCTCGGAGGACGCCCCATCTTCTCTAAAGTTACAGAAACACAGCAGAAGCCCAGCTTTCAGTAACAGCTGACGACCCCCATTGTGTCTGCATCAACTAATTTGCCGGGTAAAAATGGCAATCGTTCAGTTGACTATGTGAACTGCATTTGACCTGCTTCAAGTGGGGTTTGCATCCCCATGGGGTTGCATAGGAATGCAAATCCTCTTTGAAATCAACAAAAGCCCATTGGCACAATTCCCAAACTGTTTCCACCATTTACATTACAAAACAAAAATTTGGAAGCACCTCAGGGGAAACTATAAGAAGGTAGTAAGGCGGTCCCCACTCTATATCGCATACTACGTGCCGCATATCCTTATTACAAATGTAGAACACCCTGTGTTACCTGGTGCATGATGTATAACATTCATGGGGAGCTATAATATTTCATACCCCCGATTGTATGGAAGATTAAAATGCATATATAGGTGCCTATGCAATCTTGTCATAGACGCGGTTAACAATACATAACCACCCATAGGTCTTAGAGAGCTAAAATGTTCCTTGTCCCCTGATGTATAGGTAATTGACATATGCACATATACAGTATACTGTATGTACGTGTATATACAGTATAGTGACATAAACCAGTATGCTCTTACCAGCTGTAGTGTAATCATTTGTATGGGCCATAGCTAGCCAAATATCCCATGGAATCCAATTGCTAATTATCCTCCAATTCCCAGGGTAGTAATCTTGCAGGGCTGTTACAGTGAACTCCGTGGCTGGTAAAGTGTCGGTAACACTGTTTTTGAGTATTATAACAAATCTGCATTCGCTGGCAGGCTCATACAAAGTCCAGGCGTTCTCCCATCCAAAGGCCCTTTACAGCTAACATGTGCCATATGTCTCTGTTTCCCCCACCCCTGACTTCTTCAGAAGGGTGAGATACACCCCTTTGAATTCCAAAAAATATTTAGCCAGTGGATTCAATGGGATATTTTCCGTGGACAATACGAACGATTATACTACACATGACAGCTGGTGAGTGTACCCTGGTTTATGTCACTATACTGGATGTAAGACTGTATATGTACTGATATATACATGAACATATTTCAGTTACCCATACATCATGGAGAAAGGAATATTTTAGCTCTCTATCCAAGACGTATGGATGGTTATGTATTCTGAACTGTGTCTATAATGCATATGCACCTTCACTGTCCTAGGTCCTACAGTATACATTGAGTGGCCAGATTATTATGACCACCTGACATTTGTAGGCAAATTAGCTATAATTCGCTATCATTTCGTGCTGAAGTTGCTAGAGGGCCAGACCATTATAAATAGGGAAGCAGGTTGTTTACCACGACAGTAGAAGTGATTGTTTCTGAAGATATGGGTAAACAACGCGATTTAACAGCCTTTGAACGTGGGATGATTGTTGGCGCTCGGAGCCATGGAGCGAGTATCAGCAAAACAGCAGAATTTGTTAAATGTTCAAGAGGGGCTCATTGTTAAAATGTTTAAAGACTGGACTGTCAGCCGAAAATCTGGGTCTGAACATGCGAATTGTGGCCGTCAGCGACTAGTCAATGTTAGGGCAGAACGGAGAGTGGCAAGACTGGTACAAGACAACAGAAGGGCAACAGTGCAGTGTCAGATTCCTCGCATCATCTCGTGGAGTCACCACGTGGCCCAACGAAGTACTGATGGGGTGGTCATAATAATCTGGCCACTCAGTGTATATGCATGTATTTTGATTTCCCATACATCAGGGGGTAAGGAATATTATAGCTCCCCAAGATGTATGGAGGATGGCCATCGTTGAATCGTGTCTCTAAGGAGGATTGCCCACAGATTGCAAAAGCTTGGCTCACCAGTGAGTGACTAGATATTAGTTGTTAGAAATAATACCTGTGTTATGTGATTCCATGGCACTTTGACCTGTTTACACCAGTTGAGGTGACTCGTTATATATGTCACTTGTTACTAGTGGTGGGGCTGTAAGAGGCATCAGTGCCATCCACATAAGCAATCTGCTGGCTTGCTCTACACAATATGTGAACATATAGTTCTGACATTCCACTTTATCTATAGGAGGAGGAGTATATTAAACGACCGGAGGCTCATGGTTTCACAGTGAAGAGTGACATGAAGAGTGATTGGGAATATTTATATACTATATATAAAGATGTTTTGTAACAGGAGGGCCTTGTAGCTAATAGGAGGTTTTAATTGGGGGTATTGGTTATGGCTTGTACATCCTTACACTTGTGCCCGCTCTATTATTAGGTGGCAAAACAAGAAAAGAAGAAAAAGAAAACTGGCCGAGCAAAGAGACGCATGCAGTACAACCGTAGGTTCGTCAATGTAATGCCCACCTTTGGAAAGAAGAAAGGCCCCAATGCCAATTCCTAGACCGGATCTGCTTTCAGCTCCCTGGAATAGTATTGCCAAGGAAAGTGATTTTCTCTTTTGGCTTTCATTTAATTTTTATAATCACTTGGTTTGTAATCTTATCAATAAACTTTTAATAAAGCTCTTTCATTCATTAAGGAGTAGATTCATATGTCTTATGGGGAAAATATAGAGACTGTATACACTGGCAAGGTGTCTATAATCACCCCCATGGCCATTTTTTGCAAATCCAGAATCAGAGTATATACTTTTTAGAGGAACTGAACTGTGCTCAATTTCTGTCTTCCTCATTACTGACCTGCCATGCCTTGTGCTACTGTGTGAAAGCCGCCATCGTGGTAGAGGCACATCTTCGAGACAATCAAAAACAAAAGGACAGATCTGATATGTCTTCTAAAGATCCCTTTTAAAGTGGAACTTCTGCACTTCTTTTTTTATTAGCCCTTATACATATTTGAATTCAAAGTTTGTCACGTGACATTCTGGATCCTTTTCTAAAGGTGCCCATACACCTGCCGATTATCGTACGATAATAGAGGGTGATCCCGCGATCGTACGATAATCGGCAGGTGTATGGGCAGCGTGCGACCGCTTCTACTGTAAGGTCGCACGACTTTCCTCTTACAAGCACGCTTGAAAACCCGCTGAAAATCGTACGATTTTCGGCGGGTTGGCGGCATGGGTCGGAAGAGGAATGCCGCAAGCGCACACTGCAATCATCGGAAGCCCTCCCCCTCAGCGGGGAGGGCTTGCGATTATCGCAAGTACGATCTGCCTGTCCAAGATGGGCAGATCGTACAAAATTTTAATCACCTTACAACCATCGCACAACGAAAGTCGTGCAATGGTTGTAAGGTGTATGGCCAGCTTAATAGTATTGCTGGTGGTCTTCCATACTGCCAAGAGTGATTCTGACTTTGACATACCCAGTGCTCGTTGGAACTGAATTAAACAGGCCTGGCCTTCATTTAACTTGGAAGAGCAAGTATAATGGTGACAGTGCTGGAGGTGAGTATTGCAGTTTTCTTTTTTACATTATCTTCCACTTGCTGGGCTACTTATTTTTTTCATTTCTTCACACCTGGAGTTCAGCTATAAGTACTGGCTCTGATTACCTGTCAGTTTCCAGGCATCGCCGGTCATTTCCACATTATACCTATAAAAGGTATTTTACATGCATAGCACAGACAGTGCTGGCAGGAAAATGGAATCTCACAGCCTTGCTCAAGTTGGAACAAGCAGAAAAAGCTTTCAAGGCTGAAATAAGATGTTGTAGCTGTGAATGCAGCTTTACACTCGGGATAATTATCTGTGTACTGAACTTTTATGCCACCTAAAAGTGATGCTGTTGAAAGCCATCGTTGAGCCTTGCTTGAACACAGGCTGACATGCAACCCACTCCTCTGCTATACTAAGGCAGAGGCATATCTACTGCACGGCAAACTAGGCATTTGCCTTGGCAGGCACTTTCCAGGGGTGTGGCCCCCCAACCCAGTGAGGCAGGGACTCGCCTGCCATTGCGAAAAAAATAAAATAAATTATACCTACCCAAATTCACTGACGAGCTCAGCCTCCTGTCGCAAAATCGATACAGCGTGTGCCTGTTACTATTTAAAGTGACGCTTAATGTATCCAGTTTCTGACAGGATAAGCAAAATGCGCAGTGGGTTTCCCCACCAATAGCGCAACCTGTCAGCAGCTTGATGCAGCGAGTGCCTGTTTAAATAGCGACTAACATGTTATGCAAAATGTCCTAAACAGAAAGGGGTGGGGCAAATTTAGATTGGGGGGGGGGGGGGGGCGCCGTGTT